ATCTTATAATTTTTATAGTATCTTAACATATATGATATATATATCCTTCTTTCGTAATGGTGTTATGTTTTTAATACTAATTTTTAAAAATTGTTTAGAATTATAATAAAAATATAATAATAATAACATGATAATAAAAATAATATTATATTTTATTATATGTATTAACAAACTAGCTAAATGTTTAAATAAATAATATACATTTAAACAATATACCTAGTTTGATGATTAAAATCAAAGTTATTTAGGTTTAGGAAAACAGTGTGATTTATGGTTCTACTTCGGTCTAGTGGCATATTGTGTTACCATATAAGTATCGGAGTGATATAGTTGAAGTAATGCATAAACTTAAAGTATACATTTTGTTTTAATAAAAATATCTTTCTAACGTAATTTATTACAGTTCTTAGTTTAAATAGAAATTGGTAGGACCAAGTATCTCCCATAAGATCCTAATCGTTAAAAACTTAATTATAATATCCTATAACAAATTAAAAAGAATAAAGAATTTCTAGAACATTAGATATATTTAGAATTTAATAAAAAAAAAAAATTTTATAAAATTTATAAAAATAATAGATACGATGAAGTTCAAAATAAATAGACCTTTTTTTAGAAAGAAATGTATATAATGTAATTACCTCTATTGGTAATCAAAATTTCATCAAATTTAGATAAATAGAAGTTATAACATCTGAAGTGACAGTCCGTAGCTCACGACTAAACATACCTATTCTTAAAAAGTTCTGTTTACTAAGATAAGTCAAAATTTATATAAAGTAAACATTTAATACAAAATGCTTTTGAAATTAAACCGTGCATAGAAAGATAAGAGGTAACGTAACTATCTATTTCACCATAAACTATCATCATACTAAAAAAAATCGCAGGTATATTAATTAACAGATGACGAATTTTTTAAGTATATTTTTTAAGTAAAACATATAGATAGCATTTTAAAAAACATAATTAATTTTAGAAGTAAAATTACTATATAACTTTCAATAAAATACATACTCCAAAAGATTTGACATACGTTTGCTTAGAGTTTTTGGAAACATATATTCAGCACCATATCTATTGGTGTTAATAACCAAAACGGCGCATACATAATACTCATATATAAGAGGTAGCTCTGTCATTATTAAAATCAAATAATCAAACAATTTAAAATCAACTTTTAATTTTATCCAATTAAATTAGTATCTAGAATTGTTACGACAATAATTGTTGAAAAATTCAGAATTTTCGATAGAATTTTAATATTTTGTACGCTATATTCTAGGTCCTACCATTCAGTAGATATATAATTATGATTAGTTCATCGATTTTTGGCATTAGAGCATACTTATAATGTATGTAAAAATTCAAAAAAAATATCTATTAGTAAATAGTCCATATAAGATGTTAGTATTATAATCCATTTCTCTATCCTTTGAGAAACTCGTTTTGTCAATGGCAAAACACTAATGGTACTTAGTTCTGGTCGACGAATTTTTACAGATCATGTCTAATATTGCTGCTTGAACTTATTAAACCTCTTTAATATACTTCTATATGGCTTTTATATGGATTTTGTATAGAAAATAGCACTTATTGCTGAATATTTGTGGAGTTAAATACATTAGTTTAAACATAGCATAAGATTTTGATTTGAATTGTTCTTGACTTTCAATATCTGTAACTATAAGTTATTTTTATATCTGTAACTATAAGTTATTTATATGTTAGTACAAAACTATATCTAAAATTTAAATCAAGTTAAAATAAAAGTATGTTTTTATTGCTGTTTACTGTTTTACTGATCATAAATTCCTTATCCAAACTATATGATGACTTACGCACAGAAGAAAATTGTTTCATATGGAATTTCTCTCACCAGAACAGCTTAAAAGCTATTCTCTACATTTAGTTCTGGATTTCTTTCACAAAACTTTAAAGGCTTTGTGCAATCAATAGTGAAATTGGTACAATAGGACTCTTCTGCCTGTAGTACCGACTGCTGGACGATTTCACGTCAAAACTTTTAATAATTATAATACCTATGATGACTTAGTATGTAATATTTTATAAAAGTCATATTAGCCATACGAGCAATTATTGAAAACAAAATACTTAAAATAAAAAAAATAATATCAAAATTAAATTAACATGCAACTTACAATTGTTTTTGATGTCGGAAATTGTTTGTACTTGAGATACCTTTAATTGATATGCAAGCACGAGTATACACTGTTAGATATTAGATATTAAAACGGGAGGGCACTGTAACACTTGCATTGTATACCCGCAGAATTTAGGGTTTTTCACTTTTAGTTTTGTATTTCGTTGAATTCAAATTTGATGTGAAAAATGTGAAAAAGGTGCATTTTTCTCGCGTTCACTAAAATTCGTTATTTTCTTCCTAACATTTTTTATATGTCGTTTTCTGTTTGTTTTCACATTTCGGTTCACTCACTTTATTTACTTATTTAGCTATTTGTTTACTTGATATTCTTGATATTCTTGATATTCGTGCATTTCGATAAACGTTTTGTGAGATACTGAATATCTCACAGTAAAAGTATCTTTTAGCACAAAGAATTACTATAATATACTTTATTGTACTTTGTTAGTATAGGACAGTGTACACACAGATACACAGATAGACACTAAAGCAAACTGTCATAAACACAGATACAAATACTAACAAGTGATTGGTAAGCGAGTCTAGAGTTTTGTATATTGAAAATGTTAAAAAAAAAATTAAAAAATAAAAAACTGTGTAAATACTATTTTTTATATAAGCAAAAGTTAAAAATGTGTTGTTATCAGCAAAATTCATTGTATAATATTTAACACAAAGGCAAACACAAACACAAGCTTACCTATACACCTGAACGAATCGACTCAGTATCGAGAACATGGACTGCGTTTAAGTAAAGTTAAACCGAGTTTTAGATTTTTATATATAGCCGCACTGACACGTAGCTTTTCTGAGGCGATCGTGAGCCGATCGCGCTAATAAATGCTTATATGAGTTTAATTAGCAGATACCACAACCACAAACACTTGCATTTGAGGCGGCATACACATGCAATAATCGATCACACTGCGATCGCAGATACGAAAAGCTAATACAAATACTTCTACAGAAAAAACGTGCCTGACACAATTTAAAGGCGTTAATTTTGCTTCTGTGTTTGTCGTTATCTAATAGCATAAAATATGCTTAAACTTGATAAAAAGAAGTTCAATACATTAATTAGAAGGAAAAAATTTAGTTCATGGAGTTTTATGGAGTCAAAACTTGCTAAGTGTATCAAAAAATGAAGAGGCATACTGTTATTTTATCTTTATGGTACGTCAGTATATCGGAATGTTTGTACGTAAAGCTATCAGGATTTTATATTCAAATGAGTTATTAGTAGTGACTAACAAATAAAGTCTAGAGTTTGAATACTAGTCCCTTGAAGTCCATGTAATTTTTTAACGATTTATAATTCTCAATATGCTTTTACATACACGTATAGGTATTAGCATTGAAAATGTATAAGGGCAATCTTTCATAAAACCGTACGGATTTTGACAAAAAATGACCTCATGACTTCCGATTTGGCTGAACATTTTTTATGAGCTCCTTTCATAAAATAATAAGACCCGTATCTCGGGAAAAATTTTGTAATTTTTTTCCTAAGACATATGGACCCACGAATGTTTTCTACAATAATCTTATCACATAATTATTCCATATCTAACGTATAGTCAACTATTTTTCATGCACTGCTGTTACCTGCCACTATGACTTTTGCTTTTTTTAAAGCATACAATATTTAGTTGATATATAGTTAAGCACTCAATGCAGGCAGGAATGATTTAAAAGGGTTTCCTTCATAATTGAAAGGAATCCATTTAAATGAGAAATTCATATTCAGTGGTATTATGGACAACATGATTTTTTTATACTACTTCTTCCTTCCAGTGAATTTAAAAAATATTTGCATAGATTTATCTAATAATATGGAATTAACCATTTTATGATACGAATCCATTTTTATAATAAAGATATGTTTCTGTTAACATGATTATGTTTATTAGATCTAATTTTAATTTTTACAAAAGTATTACTATTCCTAACATATATGTTTTTAAAGAATATCTTAAAGAAAAAGGGCTTGAAAATTATGGCTTAAAAGAGTGATATTTCGAACAAAATCTGCACAAAAGAACAGTATTTAAAACTGTATGAAACAAAGATAATTAGACCGAGGCAGTAGTCTGACAAAAATTTTTCTTTCAATTTTTATGAAAATAAAAAATTAATATATTTAATTAAATAAAGAATTAATTGATCAAAGGAACAGATAACACATAGGTTTAATAATACATCTATGCGAAACTAAGAAAGAGAGAGTGAGAGAGAGAGAGAGAGTGTGTCACGTTGATAGGAACTGTCTATTAAATATACACTAAAGCTGCAATATAGATTTAATCCAGAATCACAACTTTAACTAATGCAACATACATTATACTAATAGTATAACATTATATTACCTAGGTGAATTTTGATTAAATATTTAAAAATGATTAAG